TTTTATTGATTTCAGAGAGAGAGAGAGAGAGAGAGAGAGAGAGAGAGAGAGAAACATCGATTGGTTGCCTCCCATATGCACCCTGACCAGGGAGTAAACCTACAACATAAATATGTGTCTGACTGGGAGTGGAACCGGAAACCTTTTGGTGTGTAGGATGATGCTCCAACCAACTGAGCCACCCGCCAGGACAGTTGTGTGTGTGTGTGTGTGTGTGTGTGTGTGTGTGGTTTTTATATATAAAGGTAGCTCTCCTATTGGATTAGAGCGGTGGTCGGCAAACCGTGGCTCAGTGAGCCACATGTGGCTCTTTGGCCCTTGAGTGTGGCTCTTCCACAAAGTACCACGTGCGGGCACGTACAGTGCGATTGAATCTTCGTGGCCCATGCGCAGAAGTTGGTTTTCGGCCTGGGCGAGTCTATTCTGAAGAAGTGGCGTTAGAAGAAGTGGGGGGTGTCGGTCGGTCGGTTGATAGGAGACGCGTGAGGTTCATGCACGAGTTGAGTGAGCCAGCCAGTCAGCAGTCTCACTGTGCAGTGGTTAGTGCTAGTCGCGTCCACAAATCGCGCGCGGGTGACAAAGATAGATGAAACAAGTATACAAGATGAGTGCGGATGGGAGCGTTGGAAGGGGTCAACCTCAGCGAACGTACCTCAATCAGATTGAGGACGTTTTTAGCAAAGGCCAGCTTAGGAGTACCCTAATGAAGTTAATAACAATGTACCTGCCTGTATAGTTTACGTTTAAAAATTTTGGCTCTCAAAAAGAATTTCTGTCGTTGTCCTGTTGATACTTGGCTCTGTGGACTCAGGAGTTCGCCGACCACTGGGTTAGAGCACATCTTAGGGTGACCTCGTTTACCTTGGTCGCCCCTGTAAAGCCCTATCTCCAGTACGGTCACATTTGAAGGGCTGAGGGTTAGGATTCTACCATATCTTTCTTTTTTCTTTTCCTTTTCTTTCCTCACCTGAGGATATTTTTCCCTCTTGCTTTGTAGAGAGAGTGAAAAGGAGGGAAGAGACAGAGAGAAACATGGATGTAGGAGAGACACATCGAATGGTTGCCTCCCCCATGCGCCCCACATGCAGCCCACGTGTACCCCAACCAGGGCCGGGGATCAAGCCTGTCACCGGTATGTGCCCTTGACTAGAATCAAACCCAGGACCCTTCAGTCCATGGGCCGGCGTCTGTCCCCTGAGCCAAACCGCTAGGGCTAATGTATCTTTCTTAGAGGGACCCGATGCAGCCCATAATAGGCTGTACCAGGGTCTGTGTGTTGAGTGAGCAAAAATGTGCCACCTCAACACAGCCCACCCCTTGTTTGCCCATCACATATACTCTGTCGCATATCTTCAGCTCCATTAAAAAAGAAAGAAAAGGAAAGGAAGGAAGGAAGGACGGATGGACAGAAGGGCAGGCAGCCTGGCTGGGTGGCTCCATTGGCTGAGAGCTGTCCGTGCACCGAAGGTGGCCTGTTTGACTCCCGGTCAGGGCACATGCCTGGGTCATGGGTGTGATCCCTGGTACGGGTGGGTACGGGAGGTGAGGCAGCTGATGGATGTTTCTCTCTGGCATCAATGTCTCTCTCTCTCTCTCTCTCTCTTCCTCTCCCTCCTTCTCCCTCTCCTTCTCCCTCTCCCTCTCCCTCTCCCTCTCCCTCTCCCTTCCTTTCTAAAATCAATAAAAAACATTTAACTTTTTTTTAAAAAAGTCAAACATTAGCCATGGCAGGTAGAATCCACAGAT